CTTGGAATACCCCGCAGTGCTTCAACGGCTGAAACCATTGCCATCGCCCAAGATCACTCGATAAATACGCATATTATTACCAAGACAATGCGCATGCACCTCAGGCATTATGCCAGGACCCCTTCTCATTACCTGGCGAGCCTAGCTGCTGAAAGGCCCCGCACGACATACGGCACTATTGTCTCCAAGCATCGTTCATCGTTTGCTGAGACATACGCACCTGCATCAAAGCCACTGCTTCCTCCTTGGAGCTTGAGCCGGCCGCGAGTTCACTTAATGATTCCAGGAATGAGGAGAAAATCGGACTTACCGACACATAACCTGAAACAACTGAGTCTATTCCTACTGGAAGAAAACTACAGTAACCACGTGCACATTTACACGGATGGCTCTACTACGCCGTCTAGTTCAGGTGGAGCAGTGGTTATACCATCACAAGGGATAACTCCGTGTTTTAAGACTTCACATGTGACAAGTTCCACGGCGGCAGAACTCGAGGCTCTGCGCAATGCACTGGAACACATCAATTCAGAAGAAAGACCAGGTAAATGGGCTGTGTTTTCTGACTAAAAACCAGCGTTACAGTGCCTGATATCAGTTCTCCGACGCGGATGCCACGACCAGTTGACCTATCAAACCGTGAAACTTCACCACCTGTTAATACAAAAAGGCCATGACATCGTCTTTCAGTGGTTACCTGGGCATAGTGGTATAGGCGGCAATAATTCTGCAGATCATGCTGCTCGCACGTCACATAAAGAAGCGAACAGCGTTCCGATACCGCTTTCAAGAGCGGATGCGGCGAGGCAGATTCGTCAACTGGCCCGCAGTCTCACACTGACTGAGTGGAACACACCAAGCATACGACGTACACGACTGCACGAGCTCGACCCTTCACTACAACTCCGGCCTCCACCCGGCCTACATCGACGTGAAGCTTCGCTTCTCTATAGCCTTTGGCTGGGAGTCGCTTTCACGAAAGCTTATACCACGTTAACCAGAATTACTGACAGTGCGGCGTGCGATGTTTGCGGCACCGACGAAAATATCGAACACCTGCTGTGTCATTGTCCTCGATTTGCCTCAGAGAGACAAGTACTTGCCAACGCAATGCGGCGACTGGATGATCGGCCTCTTCCTCTGCAGGTGCTATTACGGCAACGTACACATGCCTCGACAGCCCACAAGGCAGTGAAAGCCCTGCTGTGTTTCCTGAGAAGGACAGGCTTGTGTGAACGCTTCTGACATGCGGTAGAGTTCTACACGCTGCAGTGAAATTACTGTCAGCTCTTCCCCCCTTTTTTTCCATCTCTTCCCTCTTTCTCGTCTTTCTTGTCCCCTTCCTTTATCCCCCAGTGTAGGGTAGCCAACCGGATGTCTTTCTGGTTAACCTCCCTGCCTTCTCCCTTTTTGTTGCTTCCTCCTCCTCCTCCCTTCAATGCCCTGATTTTGTAGTGCCTGCCTTACTGCTGATATCTCGACTAAGTCAATCACCGTCTCGTAATCTATGAACGCTATATATATGGTTCCGTTGTGTTCCGCGCATTCTTCTATTACCTCATTGCTAGTATGAATATGATCTATTGTGGAGTAGCCTGCACAAAACTCTGCTTGGTCCTTTGATTGATTGAATTCTAATGTTGCCTCAATTCTATTAGCTATTTTTCAACACAATTTCTCCACCACCTTTCAGCAAGTCCGGTGTTACCCTATTTTCACCAGCAGCTTTGCTTCTTTGGATTCCTTCTAGGGCTTTCCTTACTTCCCTTGTCCTTGATTGTAGGGTGTCGTTTTTTCCTGGACTATTTCTGTTTCTCACGATAATATCCTGGTTGTTTTGTCTTCTGTACAGCTCTATGTAAGAGTCCTCCGCTAACTCGACTATCCTACCTATATTGGTTATGACATTGCCTTCCTTGTTTCTTAATGCATACATCATATTTTCGCCTACGCAAAACTTTTCATAGGCAAAAATTGTATAGTAAATAAACCGAATATAAGACTGTTTTTTAAGGAAACGAAGTATAAGTGAAATAAACATTGTGTATAAATAACGTCATACCACTAAAACGACTGGGCGTAAGAGACGACAAGATGCAGGCTACCAACGTGTTTCACAATCTTTTTTTCAGCAATAGGACATCGCTTATACAAAAAAAACAAAAAAAAAGAACTCATCACACGGAAATCTGTACCCCACACCAACAACGACTTATTTTTGTTTGCAATGCAAGGACTTGTGGTTGCGCTCTTCCACTTTCCAGTAACTTTAAACCTTGCACGGCACATGTGATTCTCTCTTGCAGAGAATTTATATCGTCTATAAACCTCACTACAAGACCCATTCTCACCACGCCGTAAATTGAGAGAGAAAAAGAGAGAGAAATGAATGAAGAAGTGAGAAAGTTCAATCAATTTAGCAGTTGTCTTCTACTAAAGTGTCTGCCACGACCACTAGATGGCGGCCTTTCCTAGCGCACAATAAAGCATACGAGAAGAGAACCGAGCCTGCGAGCTCCATCGCCGGCGTGTTTCCCTTTCTTTCGCGAAAGAGAAAGGAGGATATAAGAGAGGGAGAGTGCGCCTGACTCCGAGACGTTCTCACTCTCAGACAAAAGCAGATAGTATCCTCTTCTTCCTTTCTCTTTCACGCTACGTGAGTGCACTATTGATTCTTTGTGAGCCGGGATGCTGAGCGGGGAGAGCCAAGGGAGGGATGCTCGAAGATTCTCGCGAGGTTTAATTCGCCCACAGGAAAGTCGGGAAGACCCCGCGACGAGAGCGCCACTCAGCGGGATCCGCCACCTTCTAGCTCGGCTGATGAGTGAGCGCTCTCCTCGCCCACGCTTTTTCGAGGAACAGTGGCAAACAGGTTGTATCGACGCTTCGGCTCACTGACAGCGCTGACGGCCCTGTGCCCTGCATCAAGAAACATTTTCGCGGGATGACCACTGTGCATGATCAAGAGTGAGATCACACGTGTAAAACTATACGGGATCGCACGTCAAGTGACGCACAGTTGTGTACAGTGAAGAATCAGGTGCATTTTTTGTTGTTGCTATTCCTACGGTGGTTTGGACAAGACTTTTTTTAGCGGATTACCGCTGCGTCAGATCATTTGGTGCACTGAAAAAAAAGTCTGTCAAGCAACACTGAGAGGGTGGAGTTACCTGTTGGTTGTGTGAGTATTGAAGGCTTGATTTCGCTGAATTTGTGGCAGCTTGGAAATCTGATATTTGAATATATACTTCGCGTCATCATAAAACAATCACAAAAAAAACTTTTCTTGAGAAAGTGCTGACACTCTCAATTATCATTATTTATTTCTTTCCAACATGTTTAGTGAATGTATGGCAGCTCTATAAGGGTCAATGTTTGTAAAGAGAAACAGAAGGTTCACTTTATTTCGAACTGAAAACTCTCCTTCCATGGGGTTCCTTTGGCAAGGAATCTCTCCTACCATGGTTCCTTTGGCAAGGAACTGTTTAGCCAATTTTACAGACCTCAAAAAAATGGGGCGTGAACGCCACCTTCGCGGTCACATTTTTATGGAGGCATAATTTACAGGCCTCTGTATTGCGTTACTTGAGTGCACGTTGAAGTTATTCTGGCAGTCGAAATCATCAGAGCCATCCATTACGGTGTATTTTATAGCCTGTTTCACTGCGGGATGTTAAACTCTCTAAAACTACTACCCAAATTGATTATACTCGCAATAAATTGATAATTCTTAATTGCTTTTCACAACCGAAGGATCTGAGAAAGTTCTGGAACAAAGTTTTGGATCTAGAAAGTTCTGTAAAAGAAAACAAAGAAATGAAACGTTTTCTAAAGTTTTTCCTTTCTGATCAAGCAGATCGAACTAAATTTAATAAGAACATTGAGTCAGAAAGTCAATATGGGAGAATCACCAGTTCGCACTCTTTATTCTTACTAAGAATAGGTTTATCGTGCCTGCGAGCAGTTAAAAACAGAAAATGCAAATAGTTACGAAATTCAGATCGTTCAGCGTAGAATTGGCGCTATTCGGCCTTGCGTCTTTAAAATCCGGGATCACTGGCGAAAAATCGCCTAAGAAATCACGCCAATCAATACCTTATGTTTTCATAGTATAGTGATCTAATAAAGCAGTATATCGAGTTAATGTACATTAAGGGAATGAAAGAAGCTTCACTGCTGTGCATCCTCTCCTCTCTCTCAGTAGAGACCTTAGGAAAACCACCTTGATTACGGATGATAAACTGAAAATGAAGCAAAGACGTGCTTCTCACAAAACCTTGTGATGGCTCCCAGGTGTTCCAGGATAAAGTGGTGAATCAATAGGTCATTTAATGCTACAATTTTTTGTTATTGAAGAGAAAATGCGAGTGACGCATGTGATGGAGTGCATTTGATGCAATTGTTCCACTTCGACACTTGTGCTCACCTGGCTTGTGTTGCCAGCATCAACTTCGCAAGAGAACACTGCATCTGCTGAACTGAAGTGTCACAGCCAGGGTACTTCAATTGTCTCATCCCCCGCCCCCAGAACATCTTCAACGCCCCGCCGTGGTGGTCTAGTGGCTAAGGTACTCGGCTGCTGACCCGCATGTCGCGGGTTCGAATCCCGGCTGCGGCGGCTGCATTTCCGATGGAGGCGGAAATGTTGTAGGCCCGTGTGCTCAGATTTGGGTGCACGTTAAAGAACCCCAGGTGGTCAAAATTTCCGGAGTACTCCACTACAGCGTCTCTCATAATCATAAGGTGGTTTAGGGACGTTAAACCCCACATATCAATCAGAACATTTTCAACTTCGTATACACGCACAAATACAAATGCACGCACGAATAAGCAGGAATGGTTTAGCACCCTCCCCCCAAAATTACGGCTACGCTAGCTATTGCTTCCGTTTTTGCCCCACGCGGCAGTAACTCTCTAATGAACTACAGTTATGCTTGTTGACTTGACATTGCGCAGGTATATGTACAAGTAATTAAAACCAAGCTATGACGTCAACAACGATGGCTTTGACCCTGATCAGCGAAGGAACCGTGGGCGTTGACAGCTCTGGTGATGGCACTGCCGCTGTTCTGGCGGCAATCCTGAACTTCACCTCAGATTTTGCGGAGTCGTCGACACCGGCAGGTGTGACTCGAAGCTTGTCTGCCAGGCGTAGCTACGTCCGGGCTCTGTCTCCTGGGCAACACGCTGTTGCCATTCAGGTGCTGGACATTCTGAACGCGGCCTACACACCGGCAGTCATCTACCTGGGACTCGTCGGTAACGTTCTCTCCCTCCTCACCTTCCTCTGCACCAAGCTCAGGAGCCGCACGTCAAGTCTGTACATAGGAGCCCTGGCCATGTCCGACTCGGGCTTCCTCATCGTACTCTCATTCGCCTGGCTGAACGAACACGGCGCCAATGTGAGTTAAAGTGAAATCTCTGTATTTCCATTTACGGACAAAGTGGTTCCGACGGGAGAAAAAAAAATATGTACGATTAAAATACATGGGGCGCTAAACCAAGTGAACACACACACACACACACACACACACACACACACACACACACACACACACACACACACACACACACACACGCACGCACGCACGCACACGCACACGCACACGCACACGCACACCCACACACACAAACGAATAATGCCCCGTAGAACCTTACCTCCATTACGCGCTAAATTAGCTCATGCAGATATATGCGTCGTGCAATACGCCACCCTTTCTAGCTCATAGAGTTTTCCAACCGTTGTTCTTTCTGTGGAGAACATGCAGGGTTGTACCATTTCATGGACCCTGTGGGACTGTCCCAAACCGAAAAATGTATCTATAATACAAAATCCTCCCTATTCTAGTACGATACCACTCATTCTAGTAAAGCCCTGGACAACCAACGAATATTGATTGACTGGACTAACTAGACTGCAGCATAAAATGGGGTCCTGGAGTGAGAAATTCACCCTTTGAGCCTCATCAAGAAAAAAAAGAAAATATACATCTAGACTAGATGTGCTTAAAACGGCTTGGTTCTCGACGAATTTCTGCGATGAATAAAGCACACTCTACTCAAATGTGACAGTTCACGGCATCGTAAACTGCAGTATTTCTTCATAAACGTTATGACGTTCAAGAAACACTTGCCTATTTTTTCATAATTGGTAATCAAACCCACTACATCTCTGCAAAAATTTACCACAGAAATACTGTAACGAATCATACAGATAGTAAGGGTTATGAGAGTATCGAGTTATTATTTGTCGTTTTTGGAGGCTCTCCTACTGAAAATCTTGGATTGGTGGATGCTGTAATCGTTGGTGTGTATGGTGTAAAGAATAGTGGGTATGAAGGAAATATTAGTGGATATCATGGAGGACGTAGTATTCATAATGGCTGGTGACGGTGAGAGTGCAAAAAATGGTGGCAGATGGTGGTTACCGTGAAAAATGCCGGCTGATGGTGGGGCTGCAATACGTGTTTGTTAAATGGCTTGGTAAACATGCTGGATGATGGTGGCGTGATGGAAGCTTAGTCGATGATGGTGACACAAAAAGCACATTGTAATATGTGAAATTACTTATTTGTAGAGTTTCAGTCTGGAATGTGCAGAAAAACATGTTTACCGTCAAGAAAAAACAACGTCGGCCATTACGCTTTCTAGCCCATTTTTCTTTATTTTTGTTGTGTCAACAACGCTTCAATTTTCGTGTAGCGTAGAATGCAGCCGTGAGTGTTTAAATTTGGTGCGCGTACTTACATCAGTTTGACATGCGCGACGTGCCGCTTTGTTGTAATGTTTAGAAGACTAGAGATTTCTCTGTGAACAGCGAACACAATTGTATTACATCAACACGCAGTTGTCAAGAAATAAATGAGCTTTAGTTCGCAATGAGCCTTTTAAAAAAGACTAGCCTGCGCATTCGCAGTGGTAAGGACGTCACGCGCGCCATGTTTTTTTTGGGGGGGGGGATTACTGGATGGCGCCATTTGTAAATCTTGCAAAAAACACATGGCCCCCGAGATTTTCTACTGACAGTTTCGGAGGCTATCGACCCCCCAGTTTTGATTTAGGCGAGCTTCTCTGGAGGCACTGTACGAACGCAAAAAAGGCCCCTTGCCCCTTTCAAAGGTAGACCAGAATACAGTGGTCAACTGATGTCGCTATGCTAGAAACGCAACTATAGCAATTCTTGCACACTCAATTACTTGAGCTGCACTTTTAAGTTGACAATGTGCGTGCGATGCTAAAGTACACAAACTTTTATCTTGGACATGCGTCAATACAAGTCTCGGTGATGTGGGCTTTCACGTTTTTGTTCTACCACCATGATTTCCACCAAAGGTTTCGCCTACTGATCGAGCCCATACAAGTGTAATCGGTGCTTTTGGGTTTCAGAGTACATGATTCCGATGAGTAAGAATGGCAGTACAGCACAGCCGTAGCACCATTTAACATAAATGAAGCATTTTTATTGTGTACAATGCACACGCAAGAAGCGATGAACATTTTAGGGACGAAGCCTTAAGCTGTGGGTCTGTCCATCCTGCGTTGTCGTATGTAGCCACCGGTGGCACATACCCGCTCTAGAGTGGATATGTGCCACAGGGGATGTGAGATGGGAGATGGCGGTACTTGAAGTATTCACTAGATTGACGCATGGACGGACGCATGGACAGGTGGACAAATAGACCAGCAGACAGACGGACGGACGGTAGACGCGCGGGGCGGATGTGTGCCACAGGGGATGCAAGATGCGAGATAGCGGTACTTGGATTGTTGACTAGATGGGCTCACGAACAGACAGACTAGAAAACGGATGGACAGATGGATGCACGGATTGACGCATGGACCGACGGGTGGACGCATGGATTGACGCACAGATGGTCGCGTGGGCGGATGGAAGCGAGAACGAACGGATGGACGCTTCGCCCCACTCATCATCATTGACTCCGTGGATACACAGTGATCTTTCTTTTAGGGGCGAAGCTCCTTAAGGCGTGGGCTGTGCGTCCCCTGTAGCCTGTATGTAGCCACCTCTAGTTTAGTTCTTGCAGTGTTCACTAGATGGCGGTACCGTCCCCTGTATGTAACCACCTCTAGTTTAGTTCTTGCAGTGTTCACTAGATGGCGGTACCGTCTCCTGTATGTAGCCACCTCTTGTTTAGTTCTTGTAGTGTTTACTAGATGGTGGTACTTGTAGCTGATGATGAAAAGATGCAAGATGTTATAAACTAGAAAGCGGTACTTGTAGTTGATGAAAGACGCGAGATCTTATAAAATAGGAATGATGTCACATATGGCGCGTGTCATTGGTTGAAGGCAATCGTTCGATTTAGTGCGGCGACGTACGCTAGGGGGAGCGATGTAATAAAATCGAGTGGGCAAAATGTACAGAGGATTCATGGTTTACCAGGTTTACCTCCGGAGCTTCGCCCACTCATCATCATTCACTTCGTGGATATGGCGGAATTTTTTTTTTTTTGCGGCGGGGTTCCAGCATTTCCAGCAAACGTACGCCTCTACTCATCGACAGCCGCCGATACCACTCGCCGGCACTTCACTGGCTCTTATGCGAAAGCACAGACTCATCAATTCGTGGGCTTACTGAACCAATATGATGGCATGGTGTTTCCGGCGCACTGCATTCGTCTTGGCAAGCCGTTATGTAATTGTGGCTAACAATAGAGCTACAGCAACGAGTCGGCACGACTGTGCTGTACATTGCGCAAAAACAACGCATTACTCAATCACTTGTGTGGGCGTATCTGTCAAATGAGCCCAGAGGCATCATAAAACCTGAGCAGAAGTCGTTTTTTAGTACGAGCGAGAAACGGATACTAAACTTGGCAGTTACCACCGGTAAACTGTACCTGCTCTTCAGTCCACTTGGTTTTTTTTTTCTTGTGGTTGTTAATTGTAACAAAAACAGTGCTGTTGTCATTATCGCAGTGGAGTGGCAATTTTTGCAGGCAGCGGTTGTTTGTGTTTATGGAATATGTAAACTTTCGTAGCAGCTGCAGATCCCGTCTATCTCGAGCACGTGGCATACGAAACGGAAGTCGAACGGTCAATTACTAAGTTGACTAGCCATTTTACAGTAAAATTTTCATACATCAGCATGCAGTACGACATTCCATGTATCACCATGACGCAGTCAGCATGAAAATCCGAAGGTTGCACGTTGAAATCCTCGTGGCCGCGTTTTTTTTACCGATGATTTCTGCATCGCTTTCTATAAAATTATTTCTGTTTGTGTGTGTGGCAGTTCATTACAGTGGTTCCGACGCCGCTTCGCGCTCCAGCATTGCCGGCACTTTCGCATCCACCATATGCCACCGTGCACCATGTGCCAATAATAATCCCAGCAGCATAATCCACGTTATCGTGGACGTTCTTCAAAAGAGCCTTGTGCATTACTTGCCATGATTGCCTGCAGGACTCATTACACTTTTTTGTCTAAAAAAGAAACAAGTACCTTCAAGAATATTATATTTATTTCTTCCTTTGACAGAGAAAGAAATGGTACAGAACAAAAGGCATGGGCGCATAGAAATGATGTTGTGCTTATACGGACTTACTTCTTGACACGGTAGGCTTTATAGTGAAATTAACCTGAATGCATGTATGCGCATCGGTGAGACTGCATTTTCGGGGGAGGGAGACAAACCTGTGTCGCATCGTGGGATTAGGGAAAAGTGCTTCTCAGGCTTGACTAGGGGGCAGTGTTAACGTGTTTGAGGGCGGCCGAGCACTCAAATTTAATGTCCTGCTGACGATCTTGAATGTACAATATGGTGCTTTCAGACATGTTAGTCCTGAAATTAGAATAACTATAACAGGGCAAAAAATAGAAGCTACGATCACATACATGGCTGTCATCAATCGGCCTTACGTGCGCAGGTGTACTGGCGCGGGTTCTGCCCCATCAACGTGTTCTTCACTTCAGTATTTGCCTGCTGGTCCGTGTGGCTAACGGTGAGCTTTACGGCCGAGAGGTTCATCGCAGTGCGCTACCCTCTCTGGAAGCTGCAGGGAAGCTCTCCCGGCCGGAGACCACGTCTCGTCATAGGTGGCACTGCGTTCCTGAGCGTGGCGCTTAATGCTCCCTTGTTGGTGTTCATGCGAGTCGGCGACGGAGAGATCTCCGATTGCACCTTTCACCCCGAGTACGAGAGGTGAGCTTGACCTGAATGATGACACACTCTTTAGCGTGTAGTAAACTTGTGGTAATAGTGCTGCCAATGTGCGGCGAGTTGGTCCTCTTGTTTAAGACGTGGTTGGTGCCTGGGTGTGGCTCCGACTACTCTTCTTAGATAGCTTTATTATTTTGTCGATGACAACAAAATAGCATGACATTCTTGCACGAATTAGCATTCACCAAACTAATCAACTTACTTTACAGACTTTATTCATGCATGAGTGTTCCATGGCTTATCCCAATGTTAAACAATGACGGTCCGTACATAAGGCATGTTTACACCAAATAAATATTCACACAAAGAAAATACCCACTTTCTACAGAAGATTGCACCGAAGCTATCACACAACAGTGACAGGGCATTGTATTCACGGGAATGAGGGATGTTTTGTTTCTCAGTGAAATGTTTTCAACAGCTGCCACGGGACAAGAAGTAAATAACCCGAAACACACTCTAAAACCTATTTTCGTTTAAGAAGAAGCCATATATGTACATTGCACTGGCGTACTTTATGTTCATGTGCCTTTCCTTTTCCTGACAGAATTGTACGGTTGGCAACCGACCGATTGCTTTGGAACGGCTGCCTGTGCTTATGTCGTTTACTACTGCGTGAAAAAAAGTGCCGCTTCCTTGACGATTGCATTATTTTCGCTCAACAAGATATTCGTCAGGGTGTACACAAGGCTGGTAGAGTGTAAATTCATAACTTGCCGAATGGTGACGTGTTTTAAGCTCTGGCCATTGTGATTCCGGGTAAGAGCAATGACGAGGCTTTTCACAATTCATTCATTTCACATTTATTTCACGGATAGACAGTTTGACTGATTGATTGATTGCATCACTGATTTCAACAACACAGTGCATTTTGTGGGTGATTTCTCATTTAACAAATTTATTAATGAACCCTTGCGTACAATAATTCACCGACTAATCTAAAACAAGCTCCCAGAACACGAATCTGTAGTTTTGCAGAGATACAAAACAAAGCAGTAGTGTGACGCAGCCTGAAACATGCCAATTGCACGAACAGGCCTGTACAGAGAACGAAACTATACCATCGACATCACCACGACTCGGGAAACTTCCGTTCATAAAAAAACTATTTGGGCTATTGTCCACAAAGCTTGTAAAAAAGCAGAACAAATGATTTGGTCGGGAAAGTGAGTTTAGATATCGCCGAAGCAGGACACTATTGCCAAGCGAAAAGGGTGGTCTTTTTCAAAAGGAGCCATACATACTGAACGCGAGCGAAAATTTTTGTGACAGTATGAATGCGGTCCTCAAAGAGAAAAAAAAGAAATGCCAAGGTGGGGTACCATTAGGTCAAAGAAGACGTAGAGTTAAAGAACGTTCGATATAAGGAAGTCATTATTCGGGCTCCTCACTCTGCAAGAGAGGAATGCAGAAATTAAAATAAGCAGGCTTCGCCTCCCTCAGCCGCTTAAAAGCACATTCTCTTCATGGGAATGTTTATCCTACACATAACATAGCATACAAAACTGACATAAAGTAATTAAAAACAGTGGTGGCTCACTTTTGCAGCTTCTTTTCCTAGTTCTCTTTTTTTCTTGTAATAAACTCCGGAAAAGGCGAAGTAAAGTTGAAATATGAACTTAGCAGCATGCGTGTGCTTGACGAACGTCGCGAATGCACATTTTTCCTACAGTGTATCTATAACTTAGTGTATAGTGTATCTATAACAAAATGAAAAAAAAAACTAGGTTACAGTGGTTTAAATAGAGTCTCTATTTTAAAAGACTGTGGCTCAACTAGCAATGTAAGCCTGTTTTGTTAACAAACGTTCCCACAATTTCGCGTATGTTGTATTATGATTTATTTCAGGTTTTCCGTATCACTTTAGCGTTAACTCTCTCCTTCAAATTTCAGTGCTTTGTACTACCTGAACATCCTGGACACGGTGATTACCTTCATACTGCCGTTTCTGCTCATCACGTTCATGAATTGCATGATTGCCCGGGCCGTGTATGTCTTCTATCTACGGTACAAAGAGCAGCCTGGCACATCTGACATCCAGATGGAATGCCAGAACTTCAGTGAGTCTGCCTCAATCTGTTCCTATAAATTTTGCAGCGCAAAGACAGTGCGGAGTAGTGTATGCCAACCATAGTAATGCTTGAACTGAAGTAAGATATGCATCTTTTAACGTTAACGTCAGCACCAAACCAAAACAATATTACAACATATCCTGCCGGGAAACCCTTTGGGGTCATCTTGAGGCTGGAGATGTGTTTTTCGCGCTCAGCTGGTAAACCATGAAGGTCCCATTAATATAACTGAATATTGGTGACGCAAACGTTTGCATTACATTGCAGCTCCAGTACTCACTATTCAGGAGACAGTATTTTAATTCTCAGATACTCACTATTCATTGATCAGAACAGTTAGTGAGAAGTAATGTGCTGTGCCAAGCGGTAAGTGCAATCTCGTTTGTAGCCGCAGAAACAACGATCGGTTACTCAACGATGAAACACAAATGAGAGGCAAGCTAAATTTGTTCATTGAATTAGCTTAGACTGATAAGTTATCATGCGGTTACATTCTAATGTGGTTACTTATGTTTGTTAAATGAGCAGAAAGACAAGGACAAAGTTTTATGTTTAAACTACGCATATAGACCTTCATATATCTGGCGCCATAAATTGCAAAGCGTTTTTAATAGTTTGGCAACCATGCCACACACAAATTTTCTGAAACTTGGTATGCTAAATCTGTGGCTCACTCAGAGAACAAAACATTTGTTTTCTATTTACTAGAAATCACGTAGGCCTTAGTAACTCCCACCAAAATTTGTGACACCACAGAACTACACGCGGCAATTTCAAGGTTGCGGCAACACGAGACTTTTATTTTGCGTGCTTTTCTTCCGTGCCAAGCGTCGTAGCATGTCAGGCGTGGTGATCGTGAAAGTGTAATTCTTAAGTTTTGACATAATAACTTGTTATAAACTGTTTTTGTTTCTTTTTCGTATGTATTTAAACAAATAAGCATTATTTGAGGCATTTTAGGTGAATCGGCTACGTAGCTTAAGCAACATAAAAAAAGTAACAATACAATATTGAGAAGTCCACGTCTTACAAGTGTACATTCACTTACTGAAATGAAGGTCAGTCTTCTGAGATACGTTGTACATGAGCCTGCACGGGTTTTATTACACGTGTTTTAAATCTACTGGACCTGCCTTTTATTTGTTTGCTTATGCCGCCCAACTATATTGAAGAAAGAAATATTGACAAAATATTACCTGCAAGCTGCTCATTTTGGCATTTTCCATTCATTACATTTTTCGCAGCTCTACCGGCACATAGGCTCAACAGTGACACGGTTATCTCCAAAGCAACATTTAAAAAGTAACATTACATTGATGACAAGTCCACGTTTTATTTATAAGTGTACATTCGCTTACTGAAATGAAAGTCAGTCGGTCTGAAATACCTTGTACGTTACCTTACACGGTTTTATTACACGTGTGCTGAAATCTCCTGGACTTGATTTTATTTGTTTGCTCATGCAGCCCAAATAATTTGAAGAAAGAAAAAGATACTGACAAAATATTACATGCAAGCTGCTCATTTTGGCATTTTGCATTTATTGCATTTTTTGCAGCTCCACCGGCACATAGGCTAAATGGTCACACGGTTATCTCCAAGGACAGTGCGGTAACGGCGACCAGCGGAGGAGGAATAACTCACGCCACTCAAATCAGCGTGACGCGCATGCTCCTGCTCGTGTCCAGCGTCTTCATGCTCCTCAATCTGCCGAGCTACGTCATGAGAATCTACGTGTTCCTGCTCTCTCTGGGACACTCTGACCTTGGAGACGACGGCCAGAGCTCCCTGCCCTACGTGCTGCAGCGCTACTTCATGCTGCTCTACTACACCAACTTCGCCATCAACTTCGTGCTCTACAGCGCCAGCTCTCGGATGTTCCGGGCCACACTGTGCGAGTACATGCAAGGCAGGTGGCTCGCGCTACGCGAGTCGATTGCTGGCGTGCGGTCGAGCCTCGGCTGGTCTGTGACTACTCAGCCCGAAGACGCAATCGTCTGAACGCCTCTCTATGCAGTGATGTCCCCGTTCACTTATTCCTGCAGGAGTGCGCGAAACGTGGCTGCACTGTTACAGGCGCAGAGTTTCCTAAACATTTACTAGAGGGGACTCTGGCGCTGCGGTCGATCAGCTACCATGGGAATGATGGGTAGTACACGCATTTGCCTAGTCTTCGTACTTGCGGGCGGCGAATTGTACTTGCGGCTTCGTTTATTGCAGTTTTTAGCTTTTTGTTTTGAAAGAAAGATTCAACCCTTTTGAACTTTGTGACCCGATTTGGAAAGGTAAGTCTGAAAGAAAAAGGTGGTGAAGTGCAACCGCTGAACGTCTGCTGAATTTTGTTTCGTGAGAAAACAGCTCCAAGGTGCACGTTAAAGAACCCCAGGTGGTCGAAATTTCCGGAGCCCTCCACTACGGCGTCTCTCATAATCATATGGTGGTTTTGGGACGTTAAACCCCACATATCAATCAATCAAATCAATACAGCTCCAAGCCATACGAACACACACGAAGCCAAAAGCAGGCCAGAAGTACGAAGATTAGACAAATGTGTACACTACCCATCATTTCCATGATCGCTGAAACGCCGTGCGTTGCAGCTCCCATAGACACTAGCGCCACAGTTCCCTCTAGTGTACATTAGGAAACTATACGGTTTCAGGGGCACATAGAGAGAGAAAAAGACAAGGACGTGAGCTTAGCCAGTTCTCAGATTGGCTGGCGGCCATGTGCAGGGGAAAAGGGTACAAAACATGATGGAAACACGAAGGAAAAAACGAAAAGAGAGAGCATTACGTCACGCGAGTGAAGGCCAAGGTGTCGCTCCAACACGTGATCAAAACGTAAGAGCTTGCGGTATGTTTTAGTTCTGCCGATGGTGTTCCGTTTTTGAATCTCTGGCGTGAGCCGGCCGGTCTGCGCCGAAAAAGTGCTTTTTGATTGAATCGATAGCTACCAGGTGCCATACCGCCCAGCCACTGCGGTCTAGTGTATAAGGCTCTCGGCTGCTGCCCGAAGGTTGCGGGATCGGATCCCGGCTGCGGAGGCTGCACCTTTTATGTGGGCGAAAATGATGTAGGCCCGTGTGCTCAGATTTAAGTCAACGTCAAAGAACCCCAGGTGGTCGAAAAATTTAGAGCCCTCTACTACAGCGTCTCTCGTAATAATATGGTGGTTTTGGGACGTTAAACCCGACATATTAATCGGGTTCTATACTGTGAGGTATGGGCTGGTCTCGTTGTTGCGATGATATTGCGAAAAATGTCACGCGCCTAACTGACAACGCTGCTTTCAAAACAGCGTGGCTGGCCAAGGCTGGCTGCGTCACGTCATGCTGCCTTCTTCCTTTTTTTCTACATGTATAAAAAAGGGATGTTGCGAAGGAGGAGGAGGAAACAAACAGAAAGGAAGAAGGCCGAGATGGTAACCAGAAAGACTTCAGGTTAGATTCCCTACGCTAGGAGACTAGGGAAGAGAAAATACAACACGAAGAAAAAAGGAGGAAAGAAAAGCGCCCTGTTTAAATCCTGTCTGTAAGAACAGTTATAACTAAGAAACATGATAACGTTCTCACATCCTTCTCTGTTGGACATTATAGGGTAGTGTGGAAGACCCTTTCCTCCGACAATAGGCGGTCGACAAGTTCGTGTTACACTCGTGAAACATTTTTTTTTTGTTCTGGTTTAACTGAAACGGTGGCATTCAAAGGAAGATGGATGGTTGTTTTCCTCACAGCCGCAGTTGAAGGAGTATTGCTCAACAGCACAGCCTTTCTGTTGACAGTACGTGCAGTGATGATGACCCAAAGGCAACGTAACTTCTTTCTTGTAGGTCAACTTTTAATCAAAATCCGAGTGGGATAAGTAGAGACTGGATTATAGGAATATGCCTATTTTGCTTCTTGCGTTCCTATCGTGACACTTTGATATATGAGCATAATTTAGAGGTTAAAAAGTGCTTTAATGGTATCTTTTTAGTACCTATAAATGCATATTCTTGACGTTTGTGCCTTAATTTCTATAAGGGCCTATAAATGCCTATTCTCAAAATCGGTGCACTATTTAACCTCAGATTGGGGTTTCGAGTATGGCGGAGGCGGATATTTGTGTTACCTGGCAAAATTGAGCTTTCGCTACACTATGGGGTGTTGCCCCGCCGCGGTGGTCTAGTGGCTAAGGTACTCGGCTGCTGACCCGCAGGTTGCGGGATCGAATCCCGGCTGCGGTGGCTGCATTTCCGATGGAGGCGGAAATGTTGTAGGCCCGTGTGCTCAGATTTGGGTGCACGTTAAAGAATCCCAGGTGGTCGAAATTTCCGGAGCCCTCCACTACGGCGTCTCTCATAATCATATAGTGATCTTGGGACGTTAAACTCCACATATCGATCAATCAGTCAAATCAAACTCTATGGGGTGCAACAAAAAGTCACCGCTTTGCCGCAAAGGTGAAGAAAGGAACGCGATAGCAGCAAGTTGGAAGGTCACGCACAGAATGGCAAGCAGATCAAAACGTGCCCAGCGTTTCTCACAAACAAATGACGCACGAAACGTACTCACACGTACAGATCAACGCGAAGAAGCGTTTCAGTTGTTACTTCGCTGTGTCTGAAAAGCGCGCCATTTTCGCAAACGTAGGCTGTGCAACGCTTGCAGAGACCTTTGTGCGCCCCGTAACTACAACAGGGGTTGAGAGATGAGAGCCGCCGCGCGCTTGCTGCGCGATCTTACTGATAATGCTGAAAACACAATAGTTCCCCCCCTCCCCCCCGAGATGCCCGCAAACAGCGGTAATTGTTCGGTATATATAGCTTGCTGTTTGAACAAGCGACAAGGTTTCTCTTAGTGGCTTAGTGGTGAAGGATTCGTATTCATGACGTGGAGGTCCCACGTTCGATACCACGCGCCGGAGTTTTTTTTTTGTGAAATTTTCTTTCTTTCTGGCGTTTTCATATATATAGGTACGTATACATATACGGTGCATGACGCCGACGCCAGCGGGGAAATCCAGCCGAGAGTGTCCATATTATTGCTACCGCAATAATACGCATAATACTCCTTTTAGCACTGTTAAGACTACGAAGTCCCTTAGCCAAGAGTTAGGGCGATTAGCCTCTACACATGTATTCATCCGCGTCGCGTCGTCTGCACGGCATCTGCCCAACACCTGCTCGCATGCGTAGGGAACACAAGCTGCTTCTGTGCAGCCGCCAGACGATGATTTACAAATGCCAAACTGTGGAGTGTTGTAAGTAAAAGTAGAGTGTAGGTTGAAAAAAGACGAAAAACACATCTTTATGTGGTTTCTGTTTTGTTTCTCATTTAGTTCGTAAAGGCTGCTTTTCCGGGTCGCAAGATGAATTCTAGTGAGACGCTGGAAATTCTTTCGTGTCCAATGAAAAGCTTTGTACTACAAGAATTGGTTCATTGGTTTATTACGAGCCTTGAAAGCATGATGCGAGGAGGTGAGCTTAAAACCGTCATCAATCGCTTGGTGAAGATTTCCTAAACCCAATTTCTTCCGTGTCTTCTTTGTAATTGGGGCAACTTAAAGCCGGAAGATCATACGACGCAGAGGCATAAATACGTCATGCGCACGCAAAGTTACAATCGCATGACGTGCCCAAGCCACGTAGTGCACGAAATCAGTGTTGTGTCGTTTCGACATTCTCCGTATTGTACTGCCCGTTTCCGTGTCCGTAGGAATAATTCTTCTACGCGGGCACGTTTGGAGAGGCTGCCATGGATCGTGTACAGTAATCACGGATTGAAACAGCACATTCGTAGCGCGTGGCCGCCGGTCCATGTTCCGCCGCTCAGGGTGCTCTCGTAACCAGCGTGTTGCATCGTGGTATAGAGTGAGGGCGAGAACAGCTGCGGAGTAGGCTTACTCCTTCCGGTCGCTAAAGAGTTGGCATTTAGTTCACAATGTGCACACTGCCAGCGTGGCGCTGCAAGGCTCGCGCGCTTTTGCATGGATGCAGCCCGCATTGAGTGAACGGTGCGAACCATTCATATTGTGATGCAAGCACACGACGCCCTAGATCGGCTCTCTTCGACGATGGGGCACGTAAGCTGCGCAAATACGAAATTGGATCCCGCAATGATGTCGCGCCTGAATGGGGCTCATAGATATGATAAATAGGTGCACAAAAGCAGATAAAGTTTGTAAAGCTTTTTGTCGCGACGAAAAGGAAAAGCAGCAGTCACGGGCCTGTTTCCGTGCAGCGTCAAAACAATCTTGTTGTTTCACCCCGAGCAGCGAATAGTGTGGCTATGCTGCGTAGCAAGCATTTGTAGAGCTGTGGGCCACGAAAGAACGAGTGAGATTCTTGCATTTTTATTCAACAATAGGCCACGGTTTGCCCTAACTACACTAATACGTGATATTATTTCCATGTTGCATCAAAGCAAGCATGCCACTCATTTTTTTTCTTGTCGAGGCAAAAGCATGAAGTAAACATTCCATGCTTTTGTGCACATGTTTATCATGTCTACGTACGCACGCAAGGCGCAATCTTCTAAATGAATCCAGTGTCTTACTTGCATGGCATGCGTACCACATCGCCTAAACACGCAGAACGAGAGGGTCGTCAGCTGGCGCGGCAATAAAAGTGGTGCGCAGCGGTGAGCCAGTTCGGTCAACATGCGAATGCACGTGAGCCTTGCAGCGCCACCCTGGCCGTGTACACATGGGGAACTACAGGCCCACACTTAGGCGACCGGAAGGTGTAATCTGTGTCCGTAGGTGTTCTCCCCTCGCTCTATACCATGATGCAACTCATTGGTTCTACGCGCAGCCACGAGCAGCAGCACATGTACCGTCGGCCAAACGCTCCGAGTGTCCTGTTTCAATCCGTGAGTACTGAATCTTACTACGGTACACAGCGTCGCACCACTGGAACTTCTCGAAGGGACGATGCACCAAAAACACGACAAGCATTGTCAGGGCTGGCAGCGGCATGTTACGAGAGAGGTGAGAACAACAAACGCACACGAAAGAGAG